CTTACTTAAGTAAAAGTACCAATACCACAGTGTAAATATACTTTGTTACAAGTAAACATCCTGCATTCAAAATGTTACTTTTAAGTAAAAGTATATAAAGTATATTTAAAGTACAAAAAGCTAAAGTACTCATTGTGCAGAAGAGCACATATCACATTAATGTATATCAGATTATTGGATTATAATTATTGACACATTATTGTGTACATCACATTTAACGTTGCAGCTGGTAAAGGTGGAGCTAATTTTAACTGCCATATATGGTTATAATTTGAAGTACTGCATGGTCTTTTGTGATATTTCCCGCCCAGGTGAATAAAAATGAATGATTATGTTGTATTTACAAATTCTGAAAAGTAATTAGTAACTGAATATTTCAAATAAATGTAGTGGAGTATAAAGTACAGTATTCCTTGTAGTGAAGTCGAAGTATGGAGTAGCACACAATGAAAATACTCAAGTACATATAGTACAGATACCTCAAAATTGTGCTTAAGCACTTGTTTAAATGTATTTGTTACTTTCCAGCGCTACAGTATTTAGCAAAATCGGTTTTCACCCACAGATCAAAACCATGCAGATCACAAAGACACAAATCTACAGTGTCAACAATAGACTGAGAACATAAGCATAATGCAAATACATGAGTGTATTTACTTTGATTGCTTCACTTTGCTTTTAAAATGTTGTTCTTTGTTCCATTTCAGATGACATGTCACTGGGTCAAACTCACCAATGATGTTTTGGAATTTTTTTTTCATTTTCTTTTGCAAAATATATCAGGTATACATTTATTAAATTTCCTCCACTTAATATTGTGTTTTGAGTTTTTTCACTTCAGTCAGATATCCGAGCTTCACCGTAAACCATGATGTTGAGATGTTGATTTTGTGACATCTCAGTCGTGGTCCAATATGCAGCTTACACCAGTGTGATATGAGGGATTATTCAGTGAAGCAGGAAAAAAAAAAAACACACCAGACAAACCAAGTTTTTAAAATTTGTTTTATAGGATGTTGAACAGCTCTTTTAAAATTGAATCCTTCTTTTATGAGATAATGATCTTTATAAGTTATTTGAATGTGACATGTGACGGTACTGTTGATGATACAACTAACGTTGCTTTGTTGCTGCTTGAGGCTTATCAGATCGTACCATTCAAATACTGTCCCAGATGTGTTTAGTGCTAACATTCACTGTGCTCAGGTGCATAACAGCCAGCCTTTAGCTAGTCCATCTTCAACATTGTCACATATCCTATCTAGTATGTTTATTTATTTATTTGTTTCTTTCTTTTTACATACAAACTGTGATCATAAAGTGTAGCTTCAGTGGCTGTGAACTGAACCTCAACCTTGTTACATTTTACTGTGCTGCCTCCAGGCACGAACTCTTCCCACTAAAATCTTCTCCCATACTCGCAGTAAATCATGGCTGTCACGTGTCCAGAGAGTCTCCAATGCACGACAAAGCAGTCTCTGGTTTTATGCCTTTAGAGAATGATGTTGTGATCGCTGACCAAAACTGCATCACAGATAATGAAAATAATACATATGAACATGGTTTAAGGCTGGATTTCACTGTTAGTTATTAGTTTTTAGTTTGTTTGTTTGTTTGTTGTAGAAATTTTTTTACAGGTAATGTGAAAAATAGAAAAGAGAAAACACCCATACATGTGGGATGCAAATTGTATTGAAGGCAGACAGAAACTGGTTCTGTTGGCTGTCAAGGACACAGGTGTTGCCTTCATAAAGGTCAGAAGATGTATAACCTCTGTTAATGATCACCATCATGCTTTTACTATGCTTTATTCGCAGTGAGTACTTTCCCCTCATTATTACCCACACTTTATCTTTGCACTGTAGGTTCTGATTTGACTCTGGGCTAATTTACCCCCATTTTCCTCTTTTGATCTCAGATGGGAGAATTCTGCTGAAGGGTCCAGATAAAATCTGACACATTCAGCGGTTTTTGATTGTGGGTCATGGTGATTCACTGTATTTCCTGGTAAAACACAAATGCCAAACAGTCTGCTTTTACAATAACAGACTGATACATGGAATTTAGAGTACAAAACCTTTCCCATTAGGAGTGGAATCAGTAAATTCACAAGGTTAGAATTGTCCAAAATGGCAAACGTTTGCACCCGAAGGAGAGGCGCTGAATCATTACCTTACTGACATTTGCTCAGATCTCAGCTCTACTGAAATGTAACCAAAGATGAAACAGCTAGATTGCGTCAGTCAGTGCTAGCAACCACAAATGAGGAAGAAGAGGCAGCTATAGCTCCACAAATACATGATTTGTGTTAGATTGACTTTTTCAAAGCTTTCAGCACCTTTCCTGTAGGTGCAAACATTTGCCATTTTGCACAACTCTAACCTTGTGAATTTACTGATTCCACTCCTAATGGGAAAGTTTTTTTTAAAGCTTGATTCTTACCCTTTTTGCCCCATATTGATAACTCCAATGAGCAAGCTAGTGTAGCAAGATGTAAGTACTAGGCTATCTGTGCTTTGACCAGCTAGCAGTAAACTAGAGAACTTGACAGTAAACCTGGCAAAATGTGAGTTTGCAAACACCACCGTGACATACTGTATCTTGGTGAGGTTGTAGATCAGGGTCAAGTGGGGCTTATTTGTGTCAGTGTTTTAGTTATTGATGAGTTTCCTGAACTAATGCCATTTTGGGGTCAGTTAATTCTGCTATTTGCTTCAGAAATCTTTGCTGTGGTGTGCTTTAGCTCTCTTATACCCGCTTGGACCAGCCTTTCAAACTTCATGTGGATGTAGGCCATGTTGGAGTAGGCGCTGTAGTTACTTCTTCAAACTCACAAAGGAGGTATTGATTGACCCATTAGCTTCTTTTCTACCAGCTGAATTACTGAAATAGAAGTGCTGACACTGGCTTTGCAACATTCCTGTGTCTGTATCTGTAAACACTGATCAGAACCTTTTTGAAGCTTCTGTGGTGGGCTCTGTTTCTGCAGCCTCACAACCTGGATGCATCATGGATAAATGCACTTTGTTAGTAAAGTCCAGGGTAGGACTCTTGTCTTATGAGGGGGAGTGTGACTGCCTCAGGGTTGTTACTGTCTTACTGTATCTTCTCTGGTTTCTTTTGTTCCAGTAAGTCAGGTGGAGCTGAGGCCTTGTCAGAGATGCAGGACACCTGAGTAGGCTGGGCTCAAAATTCTATAAATTACATTTGCAAGATTGTCTAACTCCCTTTTCCTCGCCTGTTGACTGATTTCATTGTCTGGTTGGGATTTGTGTCTCACATCTGCACACTCATCCACTCCATACCACCCATAAAGACATTGCTTTCCCTCCTCTGTCAGACACTTTTGAGCCAGGTTGTGAGACTGTATGTATGTAACACGTCTATCTTTACATATTGTATAATCGCTAGTGTTGTTTTGTATTTCTGATGTGATGTCCTTATTTCTTGTAAAGCTACATCAGCAATCACCTTGATGCTGCCTGAGGAACAGTGCACAGCTTGAAAGTGGTTGTAATGCTGCACTGGATCCAAGCCACGAGGTCGGAAATGTCCGAGTTTAACGTTTGACCTCCAAGCTCAAAATGTTCCACAAGTCATGATGCCAAAGGTAAACAAGCAACATGGCTGAAAGTCTTTTCATGAATGTATATGACAGGCAGCATATATAAGCAGGGCTTTTATAGCTACATTAATGAAACAGAGGATGATTGGCTAAAGAGGGTGTAACACATTATTTTACATCACTTTAGCCAGGATTGACACACTTTAGGCATTCCAAATGTAATTTACTAATATAGTCTCATAAACAATCTTCATCATGAGAGTTACTGCCATTTGAAACCATTTTTTGTAGACACTGCCATGGTGAATGACGTCAGAGCATCTGCTTCTCATTGAAGTTGGGGCACGTGAAATTGGTCTGAGTTTCCCACTTGGAGTTACAACTTCAAGTGGCATTCTATCATACTTTTTAAAGTAGGTCGAAAATGTCTGACGTGCACGGAACGCTGTATAATTCAAAATAGCTGCAAGTCCAAAACATTATGTTCCTTAAGCCTCTCAGTGCCAGTATTTATACACAAACTCACCTGTTTACTGCTGACTTATTTGGGAAGCCTTTTTCAAGATTTCCTATCTATAATATTCTATAATAACATAACATTCTGTAAATTTTATTTATTACAATAAATTAGGCTTTCCTCTGCCAAGTTTCTTTCTTTGATTGGAGATAATAGTCACACTAAGACCAGTATAAATGTTTGAAGTGACATAACTACTTGGACCTCACAATATTCTAGCTAGTGGAAACACGAGGCAAACTGAGCTACTGTATCTCTGTGGCCTGCCCTACAGACCGAACGTAAAAGCAACAGACTTCTTGAACATGTACTGAGTAACAGATGGGTGTCATAATTAGAATAGTTTGGTCACAATTTTGATTAGTTTTCTTTTAAGAAAAGTGGAACACAAAGTGAGTTCACATCCTACTAAACACATTTACACAGCATATTATTACATAGGAAGAGAGAAGAGGAAGAGAGAGACTTGAATTGACTTATCACAACACTTATATGATATTGAAGATGGTATTTGTACCTCTCTGTGTGCGTGTGCACGTGTACGTGTATGTGTGTGTGTGAGGGCGATTGGTTTGTGTATCCGTGTGCATGTGCGTTCCCATGTGTAGGCTATGTGGGTGAGTGTGCATGTGTGTGCACGCGCCCATATACAAGTCTGTTTCTGTTGAGCCCCACGTTACTTTGATTGACAGGTAAGACTTGCCTTCACTCACCGCACTGCCCGCCCTGCGCGCCTCCAGAATGGCAGCTCCTTGCGACACTCTGATTGGCCAGAATCTGCGTAACTCAACCAGACCAACCGACTGGAGGCAGTTTAGAGAACGCGTATTGGTCAGGTGTACATCCTACTCCTGTATCCCCACGTGGAGCAGTGGCTGTCATTGGCCCGGACCCGATTTGTGGGCCGGCCTACAGTTTCGGTTAGTTGGGGAGCGTGAAACCGCGTGAGAAAGTTGCCACTGAGGTAAAGCAGAGGTAGTCTGTGGGTTGTTTCTGCTGTTGTGGGAGTTGTTGTTATCTAAACTAACAACACCTTTCCTCTTTTTCGTGAAACATTTTCTGGACGCAGGTTTGCACCCAAACTCAACGGGGAAGTAAATATTTCTGTTTTTGTTGAGTGTTCAACCGCGAACTACCGACTGTGGCGAGTCAAGTGGAAACTCTTCACTGCAATTGTCGTGTGGATTTGTTTCTGGTAGTACTCTGACTGAGAGCCGACTGTTTGTGGCTGTCTGTTGACGGTCGGTTTCCAGGCTTGAATTTTTTTGTTTGTTTGTTCGGTTGGCTCTTTGCACTCGGAATACACCGGATCCTACACAAAACAAACACTGGAGTGATTGAGGGGGGCTTAAGTCTTTTCATTTCTCACCTGGTTCATACCTTCCTCCCCTCTTTTAGCTGCCTGCACCTAATGAGCCGTTTCCCGTGGTTTTTTCCGGTTGATTTACAGCCACACTCCCGGTGGAGCAGAGGACAGACAACGAGCAAAAGAGCGAGAGACAGTAGGACGGATTCACATTAAACGGTCGGTGAACTCGGACGGAGCAGCAGGGCGCTCGGTTTTGTTTGAAATTAAAGACATTTGGTTGTATTTATAACCACGGATGGATTCGTCTCGGTGAGCTGGAGCACCCCACATCTTTACTGTACGCAGACTTTTAAGAAGGAAACGGGTGTATCCTCCCGAAGATAACCATGTTTCCCCAGGGGCGACACCCGGTAAGACTCTTCCCTTCCTGTTTTAACAGTAGCCGGGTGTTCACGGCTCGGGAGATAACATCACCTCTTTGTTGCAACCCCCGCCTCTTTAGGTTTTAACAGCCTTCGGGCTAAGTACGGTTACATGATCAACTGCCTTCCGGATAAGTAGCTTACATGTTTATACCAATCTCTTCTTCTTGGCTCCGCCTGTGCCCGGAGGAGCAGAATGGGGTTCATAGTATTCTTTGTTGAATAACATATTAATCAAGTAATAATTAATTTGTTGACGTTACATGTGAGTCTGGAGATGATCACATAATGAGACTATGATGTTAATGTCTCTGTGTCAGACGCCCCACCAGGCTCCAGGCCAGCCCTTCAAGTTCACCATCCCAGAGTCACTGGATCGCATCAAGGAGGAGTTCCAATTTCTTCAGGCACAGTACCACAGGTGGATAATACAAATATGTACATTCACATGGAAGGTTCCTCCAGGCGCCATGATGGACAATTTTCTTATCGTCATCTATCTTCTAACACTAAACCTCACCCTAACCACAAGCACCCCCCTTAGAGTCTGGCCTCAAACTAACCCATAAACCTGGATTAGGGTCACACACACACACACACACGCCCACACCCACACACGCACACACACACCCACACACACACACACACACACACACACACACACACACTTGCAGCAGACTCAGGCTTCAGTGTTAACACTTAAACTGTGGTATTTCTACGTCTTGGTGATGGGTGAGAGACAGAGGGTGGCGTGTGGGCTCAGGTTTTCATAAATCACTCCTGAATTTTCCCTCGGTGTGTTTGTTTAGTTGTATGCTGTTAAAAAGACAGCCTGAGTATGTGTGCACTGGTATTTTATTTGCTTTGTCAGTACACTGTGTACTTGAAATTATTTGTGTTCCGTGTGTGCAAATGAACAACAGGTAAAATTACTGATTTAAAAACAGGCTGCTTAGTTCTATTTCACCTCCTGGTGCACAAATGCAAGGTGCAGGGTTAAGCTAAACATCCAACAGACCCTGGCTATAATTTTATAAGAGGAATAATCTTGTTCTTGTCACTTTCATTTTCTTGAAAATCATCTGTGTGCCCTGCACTGTTTAAGTTTGTCTTTGCAATTGTGGCCACTTTAATGGGTGAGCAAAGGGCATGAGAGGTCAGAGGAGACTGTAAACCTGTCTGTCAATTTGTATGCCTCAGCGTTGTTAATAGTTGTTTATAAAACAGCTGGAAGATCATCAGATTGCTTTTTCAACCTCCTTGCTGTTTATTAGGGATATAACAATTTTTGCCATCTTGCGATCGAAAAATGCCTCAATACCACTGTGGGACTGGCGCTATCTACCAGGATATTACATATAGTTATTTTGCTAGTACAACTGTTCAGGTTGAAGAATTTGAAACTGACTTAGCAGATGCTCCATTGTTGGGTTTTAGAGCTGTGGTGTAACAGTGTTTCAGTTTTCCCATTTCATGAAATGACAGGAGGAAAGAAAACTGTTAAACACAAGACAATTTGCAAATGCTGCTGGACAGACAAAGGTAATACTGAACTAGCAGTTCAATCATTCATTGCTGGTGACTATTCATGCCAGTGTTTTGCACGTCATGGTTTATTTTAATAATGAAGGAAAACAGGAGCACTTTAGGTTAAAAGGAAAATCATGCAACAAATGTATATTAAGCAGCCTGAAGTGCATAGTTTCATATTTTTTCTTTATTTTGTAATAACTTGATAAATATTATCATAGACTTTTTATTGTGGCAATATCATACTCTGAGTTTGTGGTATTGTTACATCCCTACTCTGTATTGTTAGTTTGAGTAGATGTTTTAGACAAAACCATGACATACAACTGATTATATCTAAAATACTTTGTGATATTTATTGATTAGCAGTCATACAGTAAAACCAGGATCAAAACAATCAAATAATGATCAACAAGGGCTGACATATGTTTGTATGTAAATTCTCAGTCTGTGGGAAACTGAGGTGCTAGTTTATACTGATGAACTTGGGTGGAATAAGATCAGAGTTGCTTAGCTTGAGAAGTTTGTTTTAAAATTATATGGTTTGTGTTTTTCAGTCTCAAACTTGAGTGTGAGAAGCTGGCCAGTGAAAAGACGGAGATGCAGAGACACTATGTCATGGTGAGATCCTTGAATTTGATTCATTTGCATTGCAGCATTACACATCACAGACTTCTATTCTGAAGAGCCCTTAAGGAAGGGGCTGTGTCCGAAGCAGCTCCATGGGTTGTGTAGCTGACTGTACACATTCATCTTTCCAAAGACAGACAAGTTAAAAAAAAAAAAAAAAAACTGTATTATTAACTGAATGCAGGCATAATGAAAAAACACCAACAACATACATGGTGACAAGTAACAGCCGTTTTAAGTGTGCAGAGTTTCTTTACTCTGGCATGCTAATGACGATAATTAGATAGTCACATGAGACCGACTTTGCATTTGTCAGTATGCAAAGTTTTTGTTTTGATTAAACTGAGCACCAGTATTGCAGCAAATCCACTATTTAACTATGCTAAATAGATGAGGTTTTATATTTGTCTCTGAAGGAAAATGCACCAAAGCCTTAATCCTTAAATGAATTGTCAAAAACACTTTGTCACATTAAGAACCAAAGGAGAACATAAAATGCACATAGTCAAAAAAAGCAACGTTACAGAATATACTTTTTCAACATGATGGTAACCTTAGAGTTTCAAGCAATTTTATCGGAAGCAAAGTGAAGTCAAAGGAGGCATATTGTGTCTATTATTCTGACATGTATGCAAAAAGTAGACATGAGTGAATTGTGTGCAAAGAAGTATTGGGTTTTGATGGCGTCTCTTCAAAGCAGTCTGATTGCTCTATGAGAATGACTTGGTGTAACACTGTGTTCAAAATTGATCTGCATGCCCGGCTGTTCCTTACCTGTAAGCTCATGCTATTCTCTGTAGTTTAAGCTTTTTATTTTAAGGGTTCAGAATTTCTTTCGGTAATCTAATTATCTGACTTTGTGTCCTCCTCAGTACTATGAGATGTCTTATGGCCTCAACATTGAAATGCACAAACAGGTATGGATGCTTATCTGTCTGCCTCATGTTCACTCTCTGCACCTTCCTCTTTGTCTCTCTTTCTCTCCCTCTCTCTCATGGAGGATTTTGATGTATATAGTGTGTGTGCCTTCTGACTTGTCCTTGTGTGTGCACACATGCATTCATTTATGTGTGTGTGTGTGTGTGTGTTACTGTATCCCTGTGTGTGTATGTGCGTTTATTTGTGATCGATGGGGCTCTGTCTCCATTTTCCCAGTTAGGGCCAGCCGGCTGAGCCCAGAGGCAGGATGAATGGCTCTGTAGATTGATTGGTGCTGTCTAGGGGAGCGGCTTGCTTTATTACATTAGAGGGGCAGGGCTGGGGAGGGCAGAGGGATCGATCACGGTGAGGCCAGCAGTGGAGAGACAGTGGAGCTCCCCTTTTTAGAAACTGGGAGACAAAAATACACCAACCCACACTTTATTAAGGGAGACACACAAGAGTGGAAACACAAAGTAACAAGGACACTTATGTACAGCCATAAATAATGTATGCAAACACACAAAGACCAGGACAGTTGTACACAGATGTACACTAAGGTGCAGAAAGTCAAACATTTTTATGCACGTGTGCATACAGTGTACAGCCACACGCGGAAAGGCAAACTAAGTATGTAGATACATGGATGAGAAGGGAAAACTCTCATGCACACAAACACACACATTTCCCCACAGGAGTGGTGCAGGGCTCAGAACGTTTACCAATAATTACCTCAGCTATCGACCAGTCAGCCCAGAGGAAATTGGAGGTGGATTGGCCTGGCTGCTTCACTGAGGAGTTGGGATGCTTCTCTGACTCTCTTACACTCCCTCCTCTAAGTTTTTTTTCTTTCTCATGCTCGCTTTCTCGTGTTTTTATCTCCTTTTTATAACCAAATTCTCTCTCTTTCTTTCTGCTTTCTTTGCTTTCCATTTGCAATTATGGGATCTCTTCTTCGTTGTCCTACACCCCCGCCTTTGATTCTTTTTTTTCTTGGCTCCTCTTACATTTTATGTCCATGTAAAGCTACTGTTCTTTCATTGTGAGGGAGATGCATCTCTTCCTATTGTCCACACACACACTAAAGCTCCAGGGGAGGTTATTAGCTTGGGGCTGCAGTTGTCAGAGCAACAAGCTTCTGTGTGTGGGGGTATGGGGGTTACAAACTAACAAACCACCTCCTGCTGGGGAAATACATGTGTGTGTCTGTGTGTAATATGGCAATAACGCTCCAATTAGATAAGTAATTGGAAGCCTGTTCTCTGTTAGCACTTTGTGTATGTACGCTGGTGTTTTTTTCTCTGCATCTTCAACTTATGTTTACTAACTCTCTCAATTATGTGAATATCACAAACCGGATTCCACATCAAAGCAATAAAAAATTTCTTGTATCACAAATTGCAATGATGCCTAATTTAGGGATTGAAACTTTGGGTATTTTCAGTCTCATCTGAATGATTCTTGTTTGTTTTGTAAGTTAGCTTGGTCAGGCAATTCTCAGGCGGCTTAATTTGTAATAATGATGCGCATCGAAAATAATCACAAGGCGTATTACATAAATGCTACACAGACTGGTCAGCCAAAGCAGATAAATACAAACATCAAACTTGCCAACAGAGTCACCAGCAGGCCATTGCGTGGCTTGATAAAGAAATGTAGCTTTCCATAACAAGGACTGTAAAACAGATGTACAATGGTCCATAGACAGCTCTTCTCATTATGCACCTGGTATAATCCCCAGTGTAAACAGATGTGTAAACAAGCATTTTAAGATCGTTATTAGACATGTTACTTTGTATGTCGTGTACATTCATATGTGTAGTTATAAATGGCAAACAGAATAACCAGTCCTCTGAAGGATTATAACTCCTTTTCATTCCGTTTTCTTTTGATTCTGGATAGAGTCATTTATTTATAGTGTTTAATATTCTCAGGGTGAAGCTATTTCATTTTCACTTATCTATGTTTGTTATTCTGTTTTTACTTATCATGCTTACCATTTTATGCTCAGTTGTTTTTTTGTAATTTGCATCTTGCCTAGAGTTTTTCTTTTTTTTTGTGTCACACTCCAATGCCTCCAGTCTCCACAGTGCTGCTTTAGGGATGGTCACTTCGGTGCAGATTGAAATACTGTAGCAACGACTGGACAGATTGAGATGAATATTTGTAAAGATACGTATTTGTGGTCCCTACAAGATTAACTGTGTCCCCTGACTCTTCCTCTAATGCCACCAAGTGACATTTTCAGTTTTAACAGACATATTTTGATAGCTATTGAATGGAATGCTATGAAATATGGGACAGCTAATTCACGTCCCCTCAAGATGAATTGTAAGGACTCTGATCCTCTGTGGCATTATCCCTGAGTAAGAATTGTAATATGACCAGTACTTTGATTTATGATGAAATATCTACATTCCCATCATCCTCAGCTGTAATTTGTTCAATGTTAATTAGGAAATAGTAGCATGCTAACATGCTAAAGCAGACGTTTGGCTCAAAATAACGTACCGAAGTCCGGCCTCACAGAGCAGCAAGCATGGCAGTAGACTCTTGAACTTCTAATGATTAAGAAACTGCAGAAATCCAGCAATATTTTTCACAGGAAGTTTAAGGAAATTGAGATATCAGTAGATATTTAAAAATTAAAAGTTATGAAGGATAGAAATTTGAGCAATTTGCCTCAAAAGTCTCCTGGAATGAGGTAGTACTGTATAGATAGTGCTTCTGGCAAGACGTGGAAGTTTTACAAAATAGATTAAAACAAGTAGAATCTAAGTTTGAAAATATCTTAATAATAAACAGAATAAACAAAAAATTAGTAGTGAAATTATATACATATATTGTTGGGTCAATTAAACTCCCACAGATTGTTGCTTTGCAAGGTGGGATGCCACATCTGTTTTTTAGCTTGATGGCTATGTTTTGGCCTTGTTCACTGAGTTATGAAAAGTTTCCATAAGCCTGAGTGTCTTTAGATTCCAACATGTAATGAAAATCATCCATTTTTTGTAGGTTTTTACATAACAATTTATCACACTTTGAAGCGTTCACATCCATGTGTGTCTGTGTATCTATTTATGTAGGATGTGTGTGTCTAATGAGCCATCACTACATTTCATGGCTCCTCCAATTCCCTCTTCACCCTGGCCTTCGTATCAATTTGATTGGATGATATGTAATATGAGTCCCCTTATCTGATTTGATGCGACTGTTGGGATATCTGGTTTCAGCCAGCTGTAGCCACCTCCGGGGGTTTAAGGGGCAGGCGGATGTGTTGGCATGGATACTGGGCGGGGGGGCAAAATGAAGTTAGCAGCTGATGAGATTATGTTGAAGTGCTGATGGGAAGAAGGACAAGAGCACAGAGGATAGAAAGAGAGCAAAAGAAATACAACAGGCAAGAGAGAAAGTTGAGCTCACACTGATAATTAGAAAGGAAAAGCTCATTGTACTGTGTGTGAATCAGGGATACTGAAAATGGCACACACTGGATTTGTGTTTGGAGAGAAGTGGATGAATGTGATTATGTTATCATAGACTGTTAGGGGTTTCAGAGCGTGTGTGTTCGATTGCTGTGGAGGAGGTATTTTCCTGTGTGTGCACTTGTATTACTTTATTGGTGTTACTGAACAGCTGTCTTTTCTAAATGAATGTAATTATGTTAATAACAATTAAGTCTGTTTCTGTCTCTGTCTCTTTCTTTATCAGACTGAGATTGCCAAGAGACTAAACACCATCTGTGCGCAAGTCATTCCCTTCCTTTCACAGGAGGTAAGTATGTGTGATTTTGAGCTACACATTGCGTTTCTTCGGCATTTATACACTCTACTTGGCTCTGTTAGCTTTAATGATAAATCAAGCCGCCGCCTTGCAGTTTTCAGCAACATTGTGTGTGTCTGTGTTTTGCAGCATCAACAGCAGGTGGTCCAAGCTGTGGAGCGGGCCAAACAGGTGACCATGGCAGAGCTCAATGCTGTCATCGGGGTACGTGGACTGCCAGGGCTTCCACCTACAGTGTGTATTCCTCTACTTCCTCTTTATTTAAACTGACTGTCTCTGTATGTCTGTTTATTCCATAAGAAATACATTTCTTTCTAAAGGCAGAGATGAATAACCTTTCATAATTAGTAACATAACCAGATATTCCTGACAGTATTTTTGAGATGGTTCTTACAGTTAAGTGATGATGTTAAGATAAAAAGACCAACTTCAGTCGAGCTATTGACTTTTTGGGTGGGACTGGCGAATGGTTGAGAATACTTAGTTATATAGGAGCCTTAGGCAGGAAGAGAAGCCGAGGATGACTTCAAAGAAAGTATGTGAGAAGGGGTGGCTTTAATTTAGCAGAGAGTTGGCACTGGTCTTTGAGATTAGTTTAGTTAGATGTGAATTGGGCTTGTTAGTTGGCGTGGACTGATGGGGGTCTCTGTTAGTGTGTGACTGGGGGAGAGATGGATTTGGCAGTTACTGTTTGAGTCTTAATTGCAGGATTTCAGTGTTTGTTAAAAAAAAAAAAGTGGTGGTGGTGGGGTCACGGCGTTGCCCTTACACTCCCCTCTTACCCTCCCCTCCCGACTCCCACGCTAGCCTGTCATTCAACCCGTTTGTGAGTTAAATGAGTGTAATGAAGCATAAATACACTACCTTTACACACACACACACACACACCAGCTCACACTAACATCCCGTGACAAACCATGGCTCCCCTTGCTTCCACCAATACTTCCCTTCCATTTACGCCCATCAGGGGTCCTGTTTGTGTATTTGGGTGTGTGTTTTTGCATCTGTTTCTGTGTGCGTCTGTGTGTAGCAGAGCGTGCATTTCTGTTATCCCCAGAAAACAACAGGCAGGGGGACAGGATGGTTGAGTGAGGGTGTGTGTGCCTGCCTTGTTTATCTAGACTCTATGTATGCATGTTAGGGTGATCAAGTGTGACATGTGGGTGTTTTTATTTGATTCTTTGCCAGGTGAGCCAACTTGGGAAATTGAGTGCGTTTGTGTATGTGCATAGGCAGGCATGGGGGTGAGGCTAAAAGACGATTTTGTTTTTTTGCTTTCATTCATTGGGGCAGGACACACAGAGCAAAGGATGGATGGAGACGAAAAGAGAAAAGAGAAGGCGGGGGCTCAGGAGAGGAGGAGTGGGTTTGTCAATTAGGTGAGATAAAAGTGGGTTTGACCTTCAGTACTCCTTCCACCCTTACAGAGTTGCCTCCTGTGGCCCCCCCACCCACTCCTTCTCTCCCTGCGGCGAATCATTGAGCTTGGATTCCCGCGGCTACTGTCTGAGGAGGCAATAATGATGTTTTGGAACACAAAGGCATTTTACGCTCAGACGAGTGCCTGATTTGGTGTGAAAGAGAGAGCAGGGCTGCCAGCCAAACTCTCTCTCCCTCTCTCTGACCCTCTTCTCTCCTCTTCCCTCAGTCGCATCACTCCCTCACAAGGCCATGCAGTGCAGGAGGCAGCTGGGGCTCCCCCCTCCCTACTTCTCCGTCATTCCTCCTTTTCCTCCCTGTCTCCCTCCCCCCTGTTCTCCCACCACATCCTTAGGCTTTGGGCTGTGATCCCAGCTGTCAGTATTGTTCAGTGTTTGACCCCAGAGGGAGGAGTGTGTGTGTGTGTGTGTGTGTGTGTGTGTGTGTGTGTGTGTGTGTGAGGCAGTGTGCAGGGGGAGAGGATATGCTCACTGCCTTACAGACTGCAGCAGCTTGTTGAGGTGGTGTAAACCCAGATACTGAAGAAACTGTCCCATCTGTTGAGGACTTCAGTAAGGTCAGAAATATCTGTTGATTAGGGTTAGCGCCACAGAATTTACTTATTGATCGCTCAGATTCGCTCATGACAGTTTTTGGTGTCAGGTGACGGTGTTTTGCACATGTAGTTTTGACTATATCCGGTGAGCTTGATCTCTCATCTTTTTAATACTTTCCAACATTTTGCACTTCATCACAGGTGTGACGGTAACAGCACACTCCAAATGAAACTAAAGCATTTTTTTCATATGGCCACTGTCCAGAGTTACTCTTTTGTGCATAATACACAACAGGAGATAGTCCATGTCAAATGTGTGCTTACCTACTGGAAATACTCAGTTTGGTTTATGAGTGGTAGCACCTGGTGTACAGAAGGTAGGACATGGCACACATAGTATGCGGTTATTTAGCTGGTTTGTAATGTGGTCATAAATAACCAAATATCTTGTAGTTTCCTGAATTTGTCTGACAGTTTTGATGTTAGCCAGTAATGACCAAACTCCCAAAATCTCATCATATCTCTAGTTTGATGTTTTCATTGGTGTCTTTGTTTAAATGGCCCTTCTTATTCACCCTTGGATGTTTGTATTATTCTGGTTTCTTGCCAGTCTTATGAAGAAATGGTGTGAATTCTCTGGACAATGACCTGCTCACACACGGACATTATATACACTTTGTACTAGGGAGCTGGAATGGTGCCCAGGCCAACTGATTTGGAGATTTGTGTTCTTGTATACAGCTCCTAGACAGGCTCAGGGTCGCAGTACATATCTAACTTAGGTGTATTTTCCAAAACCTCTGGTGAATATGAGCATTACTGGTCGGCCTATGTACAGAACGTATGTAAAGAACAACCAGATACAGTATATTGACTTACATTCTGTTAGGCTATCTTCTTGACAAAAAATATGAAGTCGCTGGTGTATGGAGACTACATGATATATATTGATAGACAAAAAGATACATATTGGGATGTTTTTGTATCACAATATGTTGAACTTAAATATATATGGTCCCATCCCTAGTAGGGCTGAACGATTTGAGCAAATAATCTAATTGCGATTTTTTTCCCCCCCAACATCAGGATTTAATATGCGATTTTATTAGCTGTTCATTTTCTGTATTAAACTTCAAGCCAAAGACAAGCACTAAGTCATTATATAGTATGACCAAAATAACATTAGATTGAACATAAGCCCAGGCATATTATTTGATGAAATTAAATGATGCATGAATTTATATGAATGACATTTTTATTTAGACACTTCAATTGCACTAGAATACTGAATGATTTGATGACTTCTTGAAAACATGCAATACATGCCAACATAGTGTCAAAAAAGCCTGTTGTAAACATCAAACTAAAGTGCAGGAATATTAAAAACAAATCTGGCTTTACCACACTCAGTATTCACAGGATTCTAAGTCACTGTAATAAACATATGTAAACATGCAGACTGCACTTTTTAAATGTTGTCTGTAAACTTTACTAGACATAAATAAATAAACATATCTTACTGATCTGCCCAGTAAGTCACATTACACACAAAATGCAGAAAAATAAAGGAGAACAAATATCTGAATCTGACTGTACCTCTTTGGAAATATTTAGGTACATCAAAGTTAAATATAATATATGAACTGTAATTTTGAATTAAATCCTAAAAGAGAAAAACAGTATGAACACTAACATAAGGTGCACACAATGAGTATAGCATTTCCAGCCATAGTGATCCTACTGGGTGGTTCTCAGTTGATCACAGGTTTTTTGCTAGGAAAACCAGCATATCCACTTTTGCTGGTTTTAAGGATGAGTGAGTGCAAGTCACTATGTTCCCTAAACAGATGCTCTGAGGCTGCACTTGTGGCTGGTACACAAAGATACTTGCTCTGGTATGGCGACCTGGCTAAAATATGTGCGTGAGGGCAAGCTGTAGCGTTTATCCAGTGTGTTGATTAATGCCGTGAACCCAGGCTTTGTCACCGTATTGATGGGCATCAAGTCTTTCGCGATGAATTCTGTTACCGCTTTAGTAATTTCCTCGTGCCATTTTGAAGTGCGTTCATAAGGAGTTACACTTTCAAACATTTCTGTCAGTGATGCCTGCCTGGTGGTAATTGGCTTACTTAAACTGGTCTGCTGCATTTTAGATATGCAACTATCATGCATTGCTTTGTGGTGTTTTTCAAGTGCTGAATCAAGTTAGTTGTGTTACCACGTGAGGTAGCACGGCTAGCAAGGCAGGTTTTGCACAATACCTGATGCTGCGCAAACCAGCATATCCACTTTTGCTGGTTTTAAGGATGAGTGAGTGCAAGTCACTATGTTCCCTAAACAGATGCTCTGAGGCTGCACTTGTGGCTGGTACACAAAGATACTTGCTCTGGTATGGCGACCTGGCTAAAATATGTGCGTGAGGGCAAGCTGTAGCGTTTATCCAGTGTGTTGATTAATGCCGTGAACCCAGGCTTTGTCACCGTATTGATGGGCATCAAGTCTTTCGCGATGAATTCTGTTACCGCTTTAGTAATTTCCTCGTGCCATTTTGAAGTGCGTTCATAAGGAGTTACACTTTCAAACATTTCTGTCAGTGATGCCTGCCTGGTGGTAATTGGCTTACTTAAACTGGTCTGCTGCATTTTAGATATGCAACTATCATGCATTGCTTTGTGTCCGGTTGTGTCGAGCCCGAGGCCATTTTACAGCAGGTCAAGTAACAAGTTATGCTACAGCGTAGTGTGACAAGATGCTGCATCATCTGCAGATTGCGCTCATGTGTCATGTGACCAGACTATAATCGCACCTATTGCGATTAGAAAATCGTGTTTTATGTGATGGCGATTTAATCGCAAATGCAATTAATCGTTCCCTGCTAATCTCTAGTACAGGCATCTCACACTGGTGGAGTTGTTGGAACTACAGAAACACTCAGCTTACTCAGATTTTTAGTGGTGTTACAGATTGATAACGCTTTACCTCATAAACTATTTGTCGCTAACAGCAGATGGCGGTGTTGTCAGTTTCACCAGCTGTAGCGAGATCACACTCCCAAGTTGAATTTTGTCCTATCAGTTTAAGTCATTGTCCATCGGCCCATCCCTAGTTTGCAGTATTCAGTCAGCTTTGGGCCCACAACACCTCAGGAAGGCTCAGATGTGTTTTACAGCATCTCTGAATCTTCAACATCTTTTTTTTTTATTAATTTATTAATTTTTTATCAGCTCAGTGCAATTAACCACCTTATTGGGTTTGTTTTTTCTTCTCCCTGCCTTAAAGCAGCAGCATCTGTCCCATAATCATGGTGGCATCCCAGTGCCCCTCACTCCTCACCCAGCTGGCCTCCACCCCTCTCAGCTGGGTGGATCAGCAGGTCTCCTGGCTCTATCAGGAGCACTTGGTGCCGTTCCTCCTCATCTAGTGGGAAAAGATGGTGGTGATAAAAAGCCCCACCTACCAGACTCACACTCTGCAGGACCTGAACACCTGAGAGGTGAATACATGAACCTTCCAGCACCAAAACTCCACTTGAAGTAGACAGGGAAATTACTATTTATTTTGCACTTAAGTTTATCAATAATGAAATTATTATATCTTTCAGCTGAGAGTGTGCGTATTTCTGAAGGATGCAATTTTTCAGTAGATTTATTGTCATAAATATGAACTAATTTTTCCTCCTTTTTTGTTTTTATATTGTTTTCTGCTCTGTTGAACACCCAACTCTATGACCACATGTCCGTGTTTCCAATGGTAACAGAGCGAGAGCCAAGCACAGTAAGTACTTCCTCTTTCTGCAGCAGTGTTTACTGTTCTGACAAACCACTCAGTTAATTTTGTGTTTCTTAAAGAGAGTCTGCCTTTGAGGAATTTGACTTTGTTTGCAAAGCTGTAATTTGCATGCACCCTGACTTTAGCTCAACATTGAGATTAGTCTTAAGGCAGTTGATATACTTCTGTGGGATCAACAGACTGCCCTAAAGCTTAGACAAAAGCAGTTCCAAGTAACAGTGTAATGTTTGGATCTTTACCTATGAAATTATCTTCCCATAGTTATGTGGAAAACACTAAAAGCCAGAGGATTGATTGGCTGCTGTGGTTATCTTAGCCAAACAAACCACTTATTTCACATGTAAATGGTATTTTATTGACAATACAGTATTTAAAAAGTCATTGCACATTTATCCTAAGTGACATAAAAACAGTGACTTATCCAGGTAAATTGTACCTGTTGCTGAGGCAGGCTCTTTTTTATTTTATTTTACTGGCATTGGTTTTGCTGTTCACGTCTTTGCTGTTGCAGTGACCCACTTTCAGTGAAGTTCTTCTCACCGTGTCATTACTCATAAAAAACACTTTTTTAAAAACCACAGTTTCGAACCCATAGGGCTTCAATGTATAGTTTTGACTGTCACTTTCAAAGTGTGTGTGTGTTGATATGTGTTTGGAGATCTCTCAGGGAGAGCTTTGGCCTCCCTGTTTAGTTCTGCCCTAGATCTGCTCTCAACTGTCAAGTTTCCTTTCTCCTCCAAATGAGCTTTTTAGCATCGTCTCGCACACTCGCACTGGCATGCATTTGCACACACGCACACACACACTGCTCCAGCCTAGCCTTCATTGTTGTGCCTATTTAACACCTCAGTGAGCAGATTACCCTCTTCCCCCCCCACCACCACCCCTGATCCAGCGCTTAAAGACTCTCATTGTGTTTAATATCACCACCACTGAGAGGGGAGGGCTTGGGAAAGGGGGTGGGAGGGGAGGGGAGTGGCTGAGGTAGCAGCAGTCATATGACACTGAGCTAGTGTGTGTAAGTGTGAGAGTGAGCTAGACTATACTAAACACGAACAGGAGGGGGGTGCAGTGGCTTATATTCTGCAGGTCAATGCGTCTGTGCTCAGTTCAGTCAAACCTTTAAGTAATAGAGGGGAAGGTGGAAGGGAGGGAGGGAGGAACGGGGTATGTTGTGAAGGAAGGGGCCTTTGGCAAAATACAGATCCCCAACACCCCCTTTCCCTCCCTTGTCTCTTGTCACCCTTTCTTCTCATCCACACTCTCACACCCTCCCTCTATCCTCTGTCCTCTAATCTGTTGCGTCCCTTTCCCCTTTTTTCTCTCACTCTCCGACCCTCCTCCTCCTCTCTTAACTATTCCTCCTTCATTTACCCTTTCCCTCCTCAAAGCCCAAAATGCTCTCTCCCTCGATGTGTACATGCTCATGTGTATTTGCGTAAGTTGGGTGCACATTTCACTGACAGCCTGAGACTATAATGTACTCAACATAAGCTTTAATCCATTAACAATAGGATCCATTGGTCAGGGGGCCACAGCAGGGGGGTAGTGCTCCTTTGTATGTTTGTGTGGCCTAGTATTACTCATGTTGTGAGGATGTAAGTCTGTTTACACAGTCACACTGTGGGGACTTCATGCCCTTATGGGGACAAAAAGCAAGTCCCCTAAATGTAAATCATTACATTACATTATAGAGGGATAACTTGGTTTAAGGTTAGGGTGAGGTTAAGATTAGGCAAGTAGGGGTTATGGTTAAGCAGAGGGCAAGTCTCCACGAAATTAAGTCAGTGTAATGTTATAGGAAAGTGTGTGTGTGTGTGTGTGTGTGTGTGTGTGTGTGTGTAGTCTTGGGACATGAGTGTCATGCAAATAATACACATGAACACAGTCTGTTACACACTTGATCATACACACAGGCTTTCACAGTCAATTACACATTGCACACACGCACACACACACACGCACACAGTGCAGCTTGTGCAGCTTGTCAGTGCCAGGAGAGGGAGCACTGATAGCTTTTGAGAGCCACTTAACGTAATCATCGACTTCAGAGGCTTGTGTTTGTATGTGACTGTGACTGGCTTTGGTCAAGTGAGAAAAAAAGGTTGCTGTTCAAGTATTAGTTCTGCTTTATTCATGCTTCTGTGAACTATTAACCTGTTTATGAGCAAGAGTCTTGTTTTTCTAACCTGCTGTACACATCGATGAATAGCTCTTGTAATTAGTGGTAGCTGGATCAGGTGGTTTAGTGAGCTCATGCAGAATGCACAAAGAACAAAGCACAACCTGGGCTGTAAATGCAAAATTCTCAACCCTGAAAAATCTTTTTTTTGTTTTGCGCTTCTTTGTGTTCCAAACTCTACTTTCTTATTTCTATTTTCCTTCTATATTGCCTGTATTTTCTCTCTGTTCTTTCATTTGTATTGTTATTCCACTCATACTTTGCTTTTATCTGCAGAGTAACTCATTGCTGCCAGAAAGTCTTCGAAACTCAGATAAACGACGCAACGGGCCCGAGTTTCCAAATGACACCAAGAAACGCAAGGTGGATGACAAGGACTCTAGCCATTATGTAAGAAATATTTCACCTGTGTGTCAAATGCTTAAGTGAGGTAAAATAATGTGTTCATAATGTTTATTTCCAAATACACTTTAAGTGTTTGTTCAGATGCAGTGTGGTGTTTCACTATTTTTTTTCACTTGAATATTCACTTGTAAGGTGAATATAATGAACCAGCTGGTACAAGGACAAAGGACAAGGATGTTGTGACAATATTCAGTTAATGAAAATGACAATATATAATGGTTTACTAACTGATTGTCTTTGTTTGCAGGATAGTGACGGGGAGAAGAGTGATGATAATTTAGTGGTGGATGTCTCAAATGAGGTCAATATGATTTGATATTTTGTACTAGTACTGATTGGTTTTTTTTTTCTCATTGTGTGGTGGATGTGTTAATTAAAATTACAGGCATCACTTTAGTGTGACAGTCTCTCATTAAATGACTTAAAATATATTTACTGTTGTCCTTGGGACTGTAATTTTCTGTCTAAAGAAAAGCCAACATCCCTCTTGTGTAGTAGTTTTGTTGTCAGGTACTTAACTGAATCCTCGTCTCTTTGCCAGGATCCAGCCTCTCCCCATGGCACTCCTCTCCCCTCCCCAAGAGAAAATGGCCTGGATAAACCACGTCTTCCCAAAAAGGACCCGTGCAGTCCAGCGTCTACTGCATCATCAGCTAGCTCCTCCTCCCTCAAGTCCAAAGAGATGGCAATGGTAGGGATAGATGAGACAAATATGTTTTACTGTATATTTGAATAAAGCAGGTGGATTGATTGGTGATAAATATGTCAGTAGTTACACAGTTCTTTTATATTTCTAAATTGTCTCTGTCTGTGTGGTAGCGAGATAAGGCAGGTACACCTGGGCTGAAGTCAAGCACACCCACACCTAGAGGTGACTCCACTCCCGGTCCAAGCTCCACACCTGGAATCCGGCCCAGTCTATCAAAACCCCCCTCCATGGAGATACCACATCTACCCAGTAAATTACCCGAAAACATTTGTAAATTAAAATTATGAGAGGTTGTGCTATGTAAGAGATCATTACATTAGATTTTGTAAATTGCCTCCAGGAAAATTGAGTCTCAAGGGTCAAAGTGTTTTGCATGCATGATGTAGAACCTTCCTGCTTCCTAAAGAAGTGTTGTTGTAAGATGCAATAGCTAATGTGTCTCATAACACATGGTTACTTTGGAGCAATGTCATGCATGTGTACAAGTCTCCAGAGTCTGCTCTGACTGCCAGAAGTCACAGTTTTTGGTTAAAAATTAATTGATTAATTTTGCATCACAGCCAGAGAAAGAATTCTAATCAAGGGTTATTAGCAATATTAGATGGTTGTATAGTTAAGGGCTTTTGTACTTTGCTTTCTTAGTTGGCAGCTTTTTAGGTATCTTTCTCTTTTCTTCCCTCCTCAGCTGCAGGTTTGCGGACCCCACTGGCTGTACCAGGCCCATACCCAGGTGCATTTGGTATGTTGCCCCATGCGGCAGGGATGAATGGAGAGCTGGCAGGTGCAGCCGGGGCTGCGGCCTACGCAGCTGGACTTCACAACATGTCACCTCAGATGAGTGCTGCTGCTGCAGCGGCTGTGGCTGCATATGGTCGTTCACCCATGGTGAGTGAAAAAGAGTAACTTGTGATTTGGTCAAGTGTCATTCATATCTCTTTGAGTACATCTTTTGTATCTTAAAAGTATATTTCTAATGGCTCTTTTCATACTTTGTGTTACAATACTGGATCACAGTAAATGTGATTAGGAATTTTGACTCCGATCAACAGAAATATCAAAGTGAAAAGTAAAAAAAAAATGGCTAAAAATGTATTTGAATAAAGTACAAATATGAAACACAAAATTATTCATTACTAAGTGTTTTCCTGCTTCATGACATAGCCTAGAGGCTCCTTTAGTGGGATTCTAGGATTGACTCTATGTAGATAGGTGGGTATCAGGTTTGCACATCTGGATGCTTCAGATTTTATTCTATTCTTCTATGGAGAACTTGCTAGCTTTGTGAAGTTACTCAGTGAATGTTCAAAACAGTGAATTTTCAAGTCATACTGCTAGTTCTGCTACTTTCATGTGGATTTTTTCAACAGTGGTTTCCTCCTTGCTGTTCTCCCTGAAACACATGGGAACAGTTGTATGCAGTGCGAGCACATTCACAGCTTTTCAGTTATATAGCCATGATAAATTCAGTTTGTTGACAGTTTCTTGTATCCTTTCCCTAATTCATACTTTCAATAATTTCATAAAAGACTAATTGATCTTTTATCTTAATAAGGTATCTTTAGCTGCCATTGCCATGAAAGTGACTAATGGCTACAACAGTTACCACACACCAGACATTTAAATAAAAATCACTAGTCACACCTTGATTAAACACAGGTGATCTCATTCAGCTTATTAAGGAGCTTCTGAAAACAACTGGCTGCAACAGTGAAGTCACATGAAGTGAAGTGTTTCATCTTTTACTTGATGTAGATGTAGTTGTAGAATTTTTACTATGATGATTTGACTTCGATGTCTTTTTTTCTGTTGTGTTGACAAATCATAATAATCGACACTGTAATTCAGTGTTTTAAAAGAATAAAAGATGTTGAGGAGTGTGACTAATGAACACTGTATATTTTATATTGCAAAGTGTGGAAAGAGTCAGTAGCAGTACAGCTGTATTTCTCTTGTCTGTGTGGTAGTATTTGTACAATGAGTATCCTAGTGTGCACTGCATCTTATCACTTTTGACTCTATTTGCATAGTGTTCATTACACTGTTTAAATAGGTTTAGTAGACTTGCAGCTGCGTCTGTGTCTGGGCAACGCTTGATAGAACCTCAGGTTGTGTACTCACCGGCTCTGTGTGTGTGTGTGTTGGGGGGGTTACTGACAGCTCTGCCTGTGTGTGTTTGCTGATTCTTACACTTGTCATTCAGATACAGAGGGTGTGTATCTCAAGAGTATTTGCTTTGTGCTCATAAGTGTTTGTGTTCCACAGGTTAGTGTTGACCTGGGTGCATTTTTACCCATGCCTGTAGGTGTGTGTGTTTGCACTGTGCTCATAAAATATCTGTTCTGTTCTCAAGGTTGGTTTTGATCCACATCCTCACATGCGAGTCCCTGGAATGCCTCCGAGTCTAACAGGGATCCCTGGCGGGAAACCGTAAGTGTCCTTATGGCAGTTTTTTTTGTTTTTTTTAATGTTTGCTGTAATGTTTAAAGGGTTGGTAAATGGCAGCAAGTACATCTATACATAGTTTAAGTCTAAAAAAATTAAACAAATAGATAAAATACATAAAACGTGCAGAAGTGAATGACTCTGATATTTAACCTCATTGTACATTTACCTTTCCACTGTATAGTTTGCCAGGTGTAAGTATTGAGTACTATTAATCTTCTGAGCTGCTTACAGTAAATGTTTTTTCTTGCTATCGATAATAGCAGTTTTCTGTCATGAAGAACTGGTAGGCAGGGTTTGCAGTGGAAACAAAACCACACTGGCTTGTGTGCAGCTCGGACTGGCTCTGATCTATAGGAGAAGTCAAAACGCCATAAGATTCTCATTATATAATTACCTGCCATTTATAGATTAGGTGCTACTAGACCTAAGTACAAGACTAAAACATCAAAAGGGATAAAGGTTATATTTAAATATGTTAATTAGTGATTTTTTCCTTGTTTTGGTATGACTAATTGTAGCTTCTTTCCATGAAGGGGTAATGGTAAATGGCTTTTACTTGTAGTGCTTTTCTATGAAAACTTCACACATTCACACCAGTGATATCACTGGACTAGTGCAACTTGGGGTTCAGTATTGGTTAGGGGATGACTCACTCTGCCTCCTGAGCCACAGCTGCTCCTTGAATCTCTCCTTCTTCCAGTTACTTACTGCTTGTAACCCTGGAGTTAATCTGAACTTGGAAAGATTTGCACTATTCATTTGTGCCTTGCTTGTATTTTTAAGAACTGATCATTTGTTTTGACCTGTGGAACAGCTGATATGCCTCAGAAAAACCAGAACAAACTTTTTTTCTTCTACTTTCCATATATTTCTTCTTCTGCCCACACATTTCTATATTCTCTGTCTTCCTCTTGTTTAACCTCCTTTCATTCTTTGTGTCCTCAGTGCCTACTCTTTCCATGTGGCCGCCGACGGACAGATGCAGCCAGTGCCATTCCCCCCAGATGCTTTGGTGGGCCCAGGGATCCCTCGCCATGCCCGTCAGATCAATACTCTCAACCATGGAGAGGTGGTGTGTGCTGTTACCATCAGTAACCCCACCCGACATGTTTACACAGGAGGGAAAGGTTGTGTCAAGGTCTGGGACATTAGTCACCCAGGAAACAAGAGCCCTGTGTCGCAGCTCGACTGTCTGGTGAGCACAGTGGTGGGTTTGGTGGGGTGATTATATAGTACAGAAACTGTTTTGAGTAAGAGTGATGTATGTTTGCATTAGTGCATCACTATTTGTCTCCCTACAGTGAGACTCCAGAAACAGTCTAAAAACACTAGCAGTACATACCACTTTTATCGTTGAAGTATCTTTTTTTTTTGTGTCCACCATGTCAGAACCGGGACAACTACATCCGCTCCTGTCGTCTCCTCCCTGATGGACGGACATTGATAGTGGGAGGTGAGGCGAGCACGTTGTCAATCTGGGATTTGGCCACACCCACTCCCAGGATTAAGGCAGAGTTAACATCATCAGCCCCAGCATGTTATGCGCTGGCAATCAGCCCAGACTCCAAAGTCTGCTTCTCTTGCTGCAGTGATGGAAACATAGCAGTCTGGGATTTACACAACCAGACACTTGTTAGGTAAGAGAGACGCTGTATGTATGCCGTGATCTTAGACAATAAGGAATATGTAAACTTTGCTTATCTTCACTGTAATTTTTTGCAGAAGATTTGTAAAAATGTGTGGCTTGGGTGAATTTTATGGCCATCTGCAGGTTCTTTAACCACCTGTTAACCTCCATATTGGCCTTCCTGAATTAACACAATCACAGCTCTGGCTGATTTAACCTTTATGATTACAGGTTGTAGCAGCAACAGGCAGAATATTTAACTTCTCATCAGAAGCCTCAAGAGTGGCTTCTGTTGAGAAGTCCTGTAAGCCCTTCACATTTGGTTGTCTGTGGTGCATTTGAACTGCCTGGTAAACCTGATTCCTGGTGTGCCTTTGTTTAAACAGTTCTGTCTTCAAGTCAAAATGTCTGCGTGTATCTTGCAGGCAGTTCCAGGGCCACACAGATGGAGCCAGCTGTATTGATATCTCCAATGATGGCACCAAGCTGTGGACTGGAGGCCTCGATAACACTGTCCGCTCCTGGGATCTGAGAGAGGGCCGGCAGCTGCAGCAACATGACTTTACATCACAGGTACATGCTCATAGCAGCAGTGTTTCATCGACTAACATCGAAAAACTGTATGGCACTTAATTTTTTCAAAACTATGTGTTAAATAGGGTATTCCCAGTAAAGCTGGTCAATACTGATGCTAATACATCTCAAGTAATAGTTCCTGTCTCTTCTGGCCAGATCTTCTCTCTTGGCTACTGTCCGACAGGAGAGTGGCTCGCTGTGGGAATGGAGAGCAGCAACGTTGAGGTCCTTCATGTCACCAAGCCTGACAAATACCAGCTTCATCTACATGAGAGCTGTGTACTCTCCCTGCAGTTTGCCTACTGTGGTAAGCAAGTAGCTTTATCTCAGCCTCTTTAGTCCTCCATTCACTTCCCCTGCTTCTTTTGTAGTTCATCTTATAACCATTCCCTTTTAAAATTAGTGACTTTAATGTGTTGTTATTCTAGTGCTTAGTTCTACCTTAGTGTCTTTTTGGCATTTTGCAATTATGTGGTATGCACCTTAACCAGTCAGGTGCCAAAACGCCCCTACTTCAGGGTTTTACTCAAGTCTTTACCTTTTCAGTTGATACTTTCTGATCTATTCTACAAAGGGGTTTCCTTTTCACTGTTTAACCATATCTTGTTGATGATATTTCTTTCTACTTTACTGCTACAACAATTCTACTTTTTGTTTTACCCTGAGATTGCTTATTGTGGGTGTGTTTGTGTGTTTCTGTACTTAGGTAAATGGTTTGTAAGCACGGGAAAGGATAACTTGCTGAATGCATGGAGAACACCCTATGGAGCCAGCATATTCCAGGTGAGGACTAACAGATCCCTCCATTTATTATATAATATATTAACAAATATATATAACTTGCTGCCTCTAAAGTTGCTGCTGCAGCTTTAACAGGCCACACTGCATCAGTTCAATGCATGAATGGACATGATTAAGTAAAAATGAAAATGAAAGTTTATGCTTAAATTATGATGTTGTCCTCAAAATGAGCATTCTCTGCTGTGGATTTACAGGTTTATTAACATGAAAGTTGCAAAGTTCAACATGCCTGCTGTTGGAATATGGAGTACAATATTACTTTCAGTGTCCTGTCACATGGGTTGCATCATCATGTCTCTATGTAAAAATGTTATATCTTCTAAGAGCATAGTTTTAAAGCTTTCAAGTACTTGATCAGCAGAGAAGCAGTGACATGTTTTTTTTCTGCATTTCATTTGAAATGAATCTTTTATCTGCGACTGACTTTTTGTCCTATTCTGCATCTTTTTCTTTCCTTTCAGTCTAAAGAATCATCGTCTGTGCTAAGCTGTGACATATCTGTGGATGACAAGTACATTGTTACTGGTTCAGGAGACAAGAAGGCCACTGTTTATGAGGTCATCTACTAAAAATATGAATTAAAAACAAGGACATTTGTTGTTTCCCATACAGCCTATATGTTACTAGACATTTTCACATGGAGCCAGAAATCTCAGACATGAGTGCCTTTTATGGTACGTTCTTTTTGTTTTTTCTTGTCACCTGCCAAGGAGAAAATGGAAGAAGAGAAACATTTACATGCACATATCTATTGTGCTTGTATAAATGATTCCATATAATCTGGGAGTTAACTGGAGCAGCTGGATGTTAATGGTAGGAGAGGAACTATTGGGTGTCTTTGTCTCTGCTGCTTCCTTCTATGGACTGCGCTAGCATCAGTTACAGGGACTAGACAGTGACTGAACCACAGGTGGCTCTGCATTGCTTTTACTGAGACTAGCTTTTCTGGAAAACACTGTGCTGAACATCAGATATAAAGACCTGGTTCAGTGGTTACGACCAGGGGTTGAGGCCCTGCTTCTTTGTAAACGTGGCAGACGGAAAAGAGTGACAGGTGGATAGAAGTGGGCCTACCTTTGGTGAGGCAGAGGAGAAGCAGCAGCAAAAGCAGATGAACAGATGGATGAATATTTTATGATGAATGCAGAACGGGTTAGTTTGTTTTATTGTAGACAATGCTCACAGCCTGTTATTCTCTCAGCTTGAACCTTTTGACCTTTGAACCTCAGCTTACTGTTCCGGTACGCCCACGCTGTCCGAAATGCATCTTTTTTTGTCTTAACAGTAAATCTTGTCTTCCCTAACTGCATTTTAGTGGTAGCTGTCCACCTACACACATGGTAAACACACAGTACATCACTTTTGTGATTGGTTAATTTGATCCTCATGAGGCAAAGAAATTTTTCTTAATTTCACCAAAAAGACCTTGAAATGCTTTGCGCGATGGAGAAAAAGTATCTTACCAAACCAAGACCAAATAAGCTCCCACAAGAGGTGAACATACTTAAACTGTTAGAGAAGGCTGGATGTTTTGAAAAAGGCAGCTTGTTTTCTTCTTTTTTCTCCATTATTTGTTATGGTCCTCTTTGAAAGACAAATTGGTGGAAACCTGAAGGGAAAACAAAGATGTAATTAATCTGAAATTCCACTGATTCTCCTCTAGTGTACCTGTTTCAACAGATTATTTCTCAGCTCTTTTTCATCAGGCTTCCAGGATATTGATAGAAATGTTGAGTTAAAGCTGTATTCCAAAATAAGGAGGGAAAAGTGAGACAGCAAAGTGAGTCTTTGCATTATAATTTTTCTTAATGTCCTTTCCCTTTAAAACCTGTAATTAAGCAGCAGTGTATGTCATCAGCTGCACATGTTGCTCAGGTTCCTGTTAGCAGAGTAAACCCGACCTTTACTCACAGTCACACTATTACTGAGTTCAAGTGAAAACATTTCTGGGACTTGGTACTTATAGCTGGATATGGCTTCAGATTTATGAATAGACTTTTCAATATGGTCTGAGGTCCAGACATAGCCCTGCTGTTAATTTAATGCAGATCATTTGCTTGTGGTCTCTTTTACAATAACTTCATTGGTTGACATCATAATGATTAAAGTCAATGGTCTCAAATAAATTAATGTACTGTTGTAAAAACACAATGTATGGAAGGTTAATCATGCTTCGTAAATGCGGACCAACACACATTGTCTTAATGTGATTTAATCTTCTATTTACTGAGAATCCTTTGTGAACAAGTAAAAAAAAAAGCCTCTTTACCATATTCACTAAACAAATGATGATTTTTTTTTTTTGCCTTCTGTTGTCACTTGTTTAAACTTCTGTTCCTGAAACTGGAACCGAAGCTGAATGGCTTTGAAAAATAAAATGTGGTCATGTTTCTACACCTCACAAGGAAGATTTTAAGACTAACAGCATGATTAAATTGTTGTCAAGATAATCTTAGAGAGGAAGGCAATTTCAGTCACATTTCACCTTCAGGCAGTAGTCAGTCAATTTCAGACATTTTAGGTTAATTATTGTCATGACTGTGGTATTTTTTTAAATCTGTTTTGTCTGTTAATGTTTGTAAAAATGTATATATGTTTTTTTTTCTTCTTACAGGACATGCTTTAGAAGTAAACTGTTTTGTATGTCTTTTACATGGAAAAGAAAGGTCTAATCAACTACTAAATCAACTTGCTAGCTAATCTAAAATGTTTGAAATGTCTAGACAATAAATGTGTTTTTGTAACCGGAGTGTTTTACTGTCTGGGCTGGTACAAGAACACCTCAGAACCATGACAATCTTTTGAATCCATTATAGAGTGCTGTGATAGAAGTGCCACGTTTTGAGAGTCAGCCTAGTAAACTAAGGTAGTTTAGACTTGTAAAGAAAACTTAGATGGCAAAAATTAACTTGTGCCTTAACTGTCCTCATGGTTCCTTTGCATAAAGTATATATTACTGAAAAATGTGATCAGGAATGGATAATGGTTGCCCTTAATTGGCTTTGTGTGGATTAAGTTTTCAAATAATGTGTACTCATTATAGTCTTTTGCTGACGTCTTTTGTAATTACTGTCCTTATTATGTAGCAATCTGTTCAAGTGTTTCACATGATGTAATAACATATTTGTAATGTATTAATTTGTATTGGTACTACTACAGTATTACCCTGAATATGGTAATTTTGTTGAGAAATGTAATGGTTTAAGAGGAGACTGAATTTAGTGGAATCAACTAAGCTTTTCTCGTCAATATAAATATGCAAGGCTTGGTAACTACTACAGCTGACTAGCACATACGTGCTGACCCTGCATGACAAAGATCTCCCCTCCCAGCAGGTGGCGCTATTTGTATTTGCTATTCATAAAGGGAAAGATAAAGAGCTGGACTGCAGAAGTATAAACTATAAGCAAAGCACCCCTCGTTAAACAGCTTCTGCTGCTAATCCAGAATTGAGAATTCATCTGATAAGAAGTTGTGAATGACACTGCTATACTCTGTCCTTGGTCTTTTGGATGTGAAGAAAGGAAGACAGGAGGTTGTGGAGGCAAAAAGCAGGAAACCACACTAAATGGGTGAAATCATGGATACTACATTAAGTTAATATCTTTAGTTTTTTCAACTTGTTTTCTCAAGTTTACTTAATTTATCTGAGTTAGTTTAAACATTTCAAAACTCACAAAAGAGCACTGAAATTAACTGTTCAACCTAAGTTGAGTTTATTCGAGTTTTCAAGGCGGCAGGTCGACTTGCATATCTAAGTTGAACCAGTTTGAAATGCCTTACAGTGTAGCCTGCATATTATATTAGGCATTTATTTTTCAGCTTTTCAAATAAAGCAATAATTGTAATCCATGTTTTTCCCATCTTTCATCTGACATGAAACAAAATCTCATTAGTTGGTCAAATCAGAAAGACTTATTTCCACCAAAAGTTCAAATCTGGTTGTTTTCTCATCATATGGACTTGTTTGCTTTCCACAAATCAACTGAACTCAGAAGAAAATAATGCTCATGTGGTTTCTTCTTGAGGATGCTGCATTTATGCTCATCATATTCAAAGACAAAGAACTTTCCAGCCACATCAAACAGTCTGTCTGGCACAGAGGCCTCTAAAATCCATGGACCCCTGTGCCTGGGCCCGTGAGGTAGAAGTTCCTTACTGACAACCAGAGACTAAAAAAGCCTGTACAAGTTGGTGGGAACATTCTCTGTGTTGTTTGTCTAGTCTGTGTAGGTTTCAGCTAGTCTTCACAGGTTTTATAGACTGTAATAGAAAACCTGTTTTTGCACTCATGCACACTTTTCTGGAATCAGGGTACTTAGAGTTGATGAAGTGGCACGGTGTCTGTGTTTGCCCTGTGAAAACCAGTGACTTGTCTGCAGTGGTGTTCTGCTTTCTATCTGCTGCTTGTAGCTTCAGCTCCAGCCTCTTGTTGCCTTGAACAGCATTAAATGGGTAGAGGTGAAGAATGAAGAAGCTGGGTGGCCCACTCGCCCAACCAGGGATGTTTCAGTGTTCAGAAAGATGATGTGTAGAGTTTAGTAGATTTTTTTTTTTAATCCTATGTGGTATTGATATGGAGGTTACTACAGATAGAAGTAGGATGGAGCAGCTGTTCAAATCAACTGTGTGAAATAACCAAGTCCAATCCCCTGCTTAATACTAACATGCACAACAAACAGACTAGCTCCCACCCCCTGATGTAAACTGTAAATCTGATTAATTACCATGAATATATAATTCTCTGTCTATCCCCAGCTCTCGTACACAGGCGCTTGCATAAACACACACATACACACAGTGTTGTACAGTATGAGGTGATTATATGGCAATTACAGCACTCACAGTGACAGAATGAAAGATGATCCTTGGAGAAAAATGAGGAAAACGTTTCTCCAAGTTTTCAGTCTATCCAGAGATTTCTGAGCTCTGAATCACAGAGTTCTCTTTTGATCATCAGTGCTGCTGCCTCTCTCCGATACACAAATGGATTATTCCTCTAAATCTCCCAAATCCCTAATCCTATTTATCTCAACACCACACAAAAAAGGTGCTCTCTTTCCACTGCTCAGCTTATGTGTGCAGTGTGGATGTGAGCATGCTTGTATCTCTACATGTATGAGGACCAGTTCAGGACATGAGATGAACATGCTCTGTTTAAGCATTCAAGGCTATAGGTTTTAATGTAGAGGTAGAATGTGTGTTCATATTGCCTCTAGTTATTCAATACTAAAGATTCAGAGTCTGTGTTGATCGTCCAGAATGCCACAATGAGAGGTAGCATTTTTGTAGAGACGCGTTCACCACACCCCATATAAACACTAAAACGAAAAAAGTGGAAAAAGAGGGGGGGGGGGGTCTGAGGTCTGTGTGAGAGAAAGAGAGAGAGAGAGAGAGACATAGTGGTGGAGACAGCTAGAGAGTGAATGAGGAGAGGGAGTGGCATTAGCAAGAACAGATCGTTTAAAAGTTATTTTGTGTAGTTACATTGTAAACCACAAATAAATACAGCCACACCTCTGCACAACCCTCTGGGTGTGTGACTGGGTGTGACTGTAGCCAAAGACGCTTCTGTATGTTCTGTTCTGTGGACCTTGTGTCTTTAGCCGTGCCCTCGAACAGACACACAGACCTGAAATTGGTTGTACATAGTAAACAACTGTATTTCCTGATTTCCATTTGTTTTGTTTTCAAACAGAAAATTCATTGGCTGCCAAGTACACAAACTGTCGAACATCATGATAAGCATCACGATTCTAGTGCTGTGTAAAATGAACACAGGAGAGGCATTTTCCCTGCTTTTTAAGATCAGTGCTACAGGGCTAAAATAAAAAAAGCCACACTGAAGTTTTCTGTGCTCTCTGTGTAAAAGGCGCTTGTGTTAATGATTGGTTCCTGAAAAAGAGAGGTGGCCTTTCAGAGACCCAATCTTGTCTAAAAAAACGTTAAAAAGATCATTCCTTTTATCTCTGTTTTTGGTCTCTGCCAACTCCTGCAGAAAGTATCTTGGTCTTTAGTTCATAAATGCTCCTATGTAGCAGTTAGTTGCTGACCGTGTGTGCTGTTTGGTGCTGGGTCTGCAGTGGACAGTGGATTTATCAGAGCATTTTTGCTGCTGTAGCAGAAAGTGCTGCTAATAAAACTGTGTAAATGAACCAAAAGGGTAAAGTTTTGAAGTGGAAGATCAAAACAACCAAGCAGTCTGTAAAACTCAGAGCTAAGAGAAACTGCTGGGCCAGGTGATATTTCTCAGTGCGTTCATCACTAAGAGCAACCCTTTTAGATCACACAGTCATTTGATCTATTCTTATCATAAATCTACTGGATAATGAATGTCTAGGTTGATGAGTTCATGTATTATCTATAAAATGTTGAGATATGGACCCCAATGTCATAAAACACCTCAACACTCATTTCTGCTTATCGTGGCTTCCAAGATCACAAATTTAATTAACCAGTTTATTTCAATTTATGTTGCTGCGTTGAACCTGAAGCTGTGTCATGTAGTTTATCATCAATCAGAATGAAAGTCAATCAAATGCTGTTTAATTGTTGTTGTTTTTTTGTCAGAGTTTGTGGCCATGACAAATACAGTAGAACAGAAGAAGGAACGTTAGGTTCAAGTGAATTCATGCAGACAGAAGCAATGGATAATGACAGTGCAGCTGCTACCAGCTTGAGTAAACGCAGGCCTTTAAAATCTCCTCTTTTCCTTTTTTCCTCCTTTCTCTAGTCACCCACTCAGTCTCATTTGTTTCCCTCTTCCTTCTGTTCTACCTTCTTGTACCACGATGGTTTTTCCTTTTCCTTTCTTTTGTCTTTTTGTCCCTCCAGGCCACATACTCCCTGCTTCCCTCATCTCTCTTTGTTTTCTGCAAGTCCCTCGTTACCTCTTATGTCGTAAACAGATTTTCTCTCCTCCTGTCCTCTCCAGAAATATATTCTCCTTTCCTTTCCTCTTTCTCCCCTGAGCTTTGGTTGCTTTTTACCTCTTCCCATTTTTTGCCCCAGCCTCCCCACGTAGCCCAGTGCACTTTGCACCTGTGTGTGGATGTGTGTGTGCGTGCTAATGAGCTTAGAGCCGACTCCTTCCCAAGGTGAGGTGCCGTGCTGAGGTGATCAACACTGCTGGAGTTGCAGGTATCAACCACAAACACCTGCCTGGTTGAGCGCTACCCTTCACACACACACACACAAACACACACTTACAGTGTCTGTACAGAGACTTACATTCATTTCCAGGAGACTTATCCAAGCCTTAAACAGAACTGCTATTTGCCTCACCTTAACCCTTACACTAACCTTAACCAAAGCTGACACTTGCTCTAACTGTGTACACCCCATCATTTTCAAAGTTTTTGATGAATATTTGGTGGAGCCCAGCTTCTGTGCTTCACAAGTGAGTTCTGCTCCCTGTGAAGCAGCGCGCACCCAGTGTTTTGTCCCCACAAGTATATGTAAACAAGGCCAAACACACACAAAGTAATTTCCTCTCACTCACGTGCACACCCCCACACAAGAAAAAATAATTTCCTCCCTCCCTCGCTCTCACACTCGTACACATATAAATGAAGAATAAATCTTTACTTTTCTCCCTCACACACATTAAACACAGTATTTTTTCGCTCTCTCCCTCATGCACACACATACAGCCGTCTGCTGCACAAGGCCGATAGCGCAACTCTGTCCTGTCAACACGCAGGATAATCAGCTGCTGGGGGTTGTGGGTAAGCTGTAATAATCCCTCACATGGAATATGGAAAGCATCAGAGAGTTATTCAATAGGACAGAGATAAAGGTGTGTGCATGTTTGTGTGTGTGTGTGTGTGTGTGTCAGAGAGAGAGAGGGAGA